CCTAGACAATAGACTAGAATTTTAAATCGTAATATTTATTCACTCATTTATTTGGGCACAGGTCAGGGAAATGTAATAACGAACGATTGTAAACATACAGTTTGGAGAAATCCTTAGACTTCTGATATACTTGACAAATGCACACGCGACGTGTGCGACCCTCATGTCGGACCCCTGTCCCGTCTGGCTTGCGAAGGATTCGTTATAATGTACCATCGACAAAAGCATAGCATGATTCGTTTCAAAAGTGAGGAGTGTCTATTTGTTTCTTAGGTTTTCAGGCACATCGCTCAATAAATAAAACAAGTTTCAGTGTTGGATGCACTGATTTTATTTATTTATTCACTTTTCGCATCCTTTGCATAAATGTTGACGTTGACGTTGACGTTGTCAGAATAACGAGGAGGAGTGTCTGTTCAAAAGTAGCTAATTACATCAGAATGAATTATACAGAAAATGCCAAAAAAGAATAGTTAGCTAAAAACGCCACATATATAGAATAATTTTGTGCGATATGATATTCAATATAAAGTTAGCTAGTTAACTTTATGAACAATATTTAAATTAATTAGTTTTTTTATTAAAAAAAATGTAAATAAACAACATTTGTTCAACATCTCAATGAAGTCAACTAAATAATAAAGTAAATAGATTAAATTATATACTTACATAGCAAGTTTTGATCAAATTCATTTATGAAATTTACAAAAATGTCTCCGTACCGGAATAGAAAAAATAACGAAACGAGCTCAAAATCGAAAAATCTAGTTTTGAACGGAGACTCCTGAACTGTACTGTACTGCACTTCATTTTTGAGATGAGTAAAGAAGGTTCCAGGCTTCCAAGGAGTCAGAGTAGTCAACGGCGGCGAGTGATTCGGTATCGCAAACGTCTACAGGCTATGGTCGTCGCTTACAAATCCGGTGGGCCATATGTTTGTTTACCAGAGTGTCGGTCGTCTCACCTCTCGTTTATTTGACCAATGACAAATTATAGGATTTTTTTCTACTTGGTGCCCATTGTGAACCCGATTTTATGACTTTAGCAAGTACGTAATGAGATACTTACTTTTTTTTTAATTTTGTGCAATCGAATGTTATTTGTGAACAAAAATAAAACAGCGATGTGAACCCCGAGTAATCAGTCCTATGTACAAAAATCGTCTTAATGTCCAGCCATGAGTTTGTCGACTGTACCTAACCTACCGGCTACCTAACCGACCTACCCCTCTGATAGAACGCGTTTGAATAATCGAAACCATGACGTAATCCATCTTACAATTTCTGATAATTCACCAAAAAAAAATACATATAAAAGAAACTAGTAACAGTCTCATTATAATTAAGGTGATTTTGATTGTGCCTTTATTACTGTTAAACTTAAAGCATTTCTTTTATATGGGATAATTTACTCTAGTATTAAAAATAAAAGTGGTTCAATATTTTTAGTCCGCGTCGTCAGCAACTCAAATATTCGATTGACTTTCTTTTTAATAATATACGATAAGAAGACAAAAGATATTGTCTAAAGGAAATGAAACGAACAAGCATATAATGGCAGTAATGATAGTAATAAAAATTCAAAACATTATACAGAAGTCAGATGTTAAGACGAAGTAAATCAAACGAAATTAAAATGTTACGATGCAATATGGGGTGTGTCAAATATTTTTTCATTGTCTACGAATGTTATTGGTTGGCTTGGCAAACCCATTTAGGGCGCAGTGCAGTGTCGTTATTTGGTGTAACAGGGATTGGCAATTTACGATGTTTGGCCATGTGAAGATTCTTACAAAACCTGCAAGTCGAGCAACCTAATCCTGATGTTGGTTGTTGTTGTTGGTTCAACTAAAAGAAACAGTACAAAACATGAAACAAGGTCGAAAATTTAAAACGGCATTATGTGACCGTAATTATTGTGAATTTAATCGGTACACCTTCGTCACATCATAGGGTTTTTTTTAATCCTGCTGAAGTAAACTAAAATGTTTGTAAAACTTAATTTAGGTCGGTATGACGGCTGATGATATTATCAAGTCAAAAAAAGTATGAATCGCATTCCGTAGAATTGTAGTCCAAAAAAGGTTATGCTAAAAGAATTGATAAAATAATTGAAAAAATATTTTAATTAAGAAGTCCGATATGTTTTTGTGCATCCAGCTTGTAATCTAGATTTCAATAAAAATCTAGTCGTTTTCCGCGATCCGATCTAGTTATTGTCAGGGTGCCAACTGGACTGTGCAGTTACATAAATTTGAAGATGTAACAATCAAGCCACGCAGAATCTGAACAGAGAAAAGTTGCATAACCTAGCTAGCCTTTTTTTTAATACCAAACTAGCTTTCCGTTCAACAAAAGAGATCATAAGAGGACGTTTTAGTTGTATGTACTATAATGTTGCATACACTTGCTTACGGAACAAGCGACACGCCTTTTGTAAAATAACAATGAATGTTTTAAAAAACTAAAGCATAAAGGGTTGAGCAATTTGTTAACGACGCGTTTGTTCATATTACACTCTTTGTCATAGTTCATTATGGCGTTTGCGACGGGTTTTTAAGGACACCTTCTCTAAAAGCCAACAAAACTAGCTAAGAATGACTTATGGTGCATATAGGTATCAGAAAAATTTGAAATGTAATAATTCTCATTTAGATGGAATCAGGGCCAAGTGCTCTTATACGTGTTAAACTTTCCAACCGATGGAAGCTGATATAAAACGTCACGTCTATAACAAACAGCGAAGACAGATAAGAAGAAAGTACGGAAACAATAGTGGAGTTCCCCTGGGAATAGCTCGCAACCACTCGGGCGTAGTAAGATATTACATTTCAGACGCGTGTTGAATCAATTAAAAAGCCTCCCCCTCCGTCGGGAGGCACGCATATAATATATAAATAGAAATAATTACCTATGAAGAATTTTTACTTTCGATCATCAATATCGGTGAATTTTGCACGAGTCAAATAGCTGAATATTTATTTTTTCTACTTTAATTTGTTAGATTACAAAACACAATAGAAAAGTTATCTTTAGCTATCTAAAGAGTAGCAGTTGAATAAAATAAAAAAAGAGTGAAACTACATAAATAATTTAAAATGCTGGCAGATATTCACAGTCAAAATATTCTTAAGCATCTGAATCAAATAATTTCAAAATTGGTACTATGAAATAGTGCGATTTCCACCACTCATTGAAATAATCTAAGTAACGTAAGAAATAGTGGTTAAAACATAGATTTGAAACACCCATTGAATCTTACAAAATCTCGTTTGCTTTTAATGTGCTCGAATTCGAGATTCTGTGAGACTAACGATATAAGCAGACGCGATGCGGGTTGCAGTTGAGCTCAGTAACTACATTCACTAGATAACTTTATTGGACCAACCATACCACAAATCTTGTGCAATAGAAGGCTAAAACTAAACTATTATGTAATCGGTGTAAAACGGAATTATTATGGTAGCTTCTCTCGAAAATTTGCCGTTTCACTGAAAATGTAAAACAAAAATTTGGAATTGCTAAAGTGTAAGGATTATTGGACGAAAATTAATTGTATTAGTTAATAAAGTATTTTAAATCCACCTACATAATGAGATAACTATGGCACTTACTTAGGAGACTTTATTTGAAGCCCTTTTTTAAATAAATAAACAAAATTTATTTTTGGAACACTTACATGACGTTAAAGTACTTATATTATCAGTGTAAAATTTCTCTTTCATTATTTATTACAGCGACATCAATAAATGAGAACGGTATTTTCTTTCCCTCATAATCTTTTTGTGACGTGTCATTCCCGTAAATTATCCCACAGCTTATAATAAGCATCCACTCAAATGTCTATTTATCTTCGTTCGCTCGTTATAAAATCTGTAGTTCCAAATTAACTGACTCCCCTTTATTTAGAATTTAGATACACAAAACTCGTTATCCTTGCTTCTTCGGGAATCTTTTAGAAAAGCAAGGAGGTGTTCAGTAAAATAATCATACTGTCCTAAATAAAGGTAGTTAGCTATCGCTAGTTTTTCTTTATTGCGGCTAGTTTAGTTGTTTTTATTAAAAACATTAATAGTATCTTAATAGACATTTACTTTGAAATAAACGGTGGGGTTGCAAATAAATACTGCTAAAAGAAAAGAAAATATTTAAAATTTAAACAACAAGTAAATTCGTAGAAAACTATTAATTCATTCCTTGTAATGAAAGCAAACAGCAAAAAGACTAAGAGCGATCACGAAATGCCCTTAGGTAATTTCATACAACACATTGATATGGAATAGAACTTGTTAAATTTGTTCTATAAACCAGAGTAGAATACGTTATTACCCTAGATTTAATCGCTTCAGGCATCTGAATATTCTATCAAAGATATCATAGAAATGAAGAAACAATTACACGTAATGTTATCGTTATAATTATTGTGTTAAATTAAAAAGAGATTCTTAAAATTATCTATTTCTCTCATACATAACCTGATGTTTTAGAGTGAAAGTAGTAATAAAGGATAAAAGGCAAAAGTCTTTTTCGAAGATCGAGAAGCTTTTGTAAATGATAATGAAGGAAACAACAACACCGAGGGAATTGGAGTGGATTCCTTGTTAGATAACAAGACTGGATAGAATACTAAGATCAAAACTGGTTATTTCAAGGACAAAGAAAGACTGCCGAAAGTTTACTTAACTTTATTTTACTTAAGAAAATAATTGAGGAGGGTCAAAATAAAAGTAAATTTTCGACTTGAAGTCTGTTTATACAAAATTCTTAACAAAACTGTATACATTTTCAAAGGTAACTAACTCGGAGAGAAATTTTTGCAGAGAACTTGAAAATTGTGGACACTGGATTCCTTTGGCCATTTTATTGAAAGTTATTTCTTATGTTAGTAAAGATCTTAATTAAGCCCCGGCCAAAAATAAATAAAGCCTTGAATTTATATGAAAATCATGGAAGTTTAATCATTATGTTCAGTTTAGGCTCAAAAATAATGATTGTACATACCTCTTTAGATCAAGCACCATTTCCTGAAACGAAAAACAATATTGCAATTATAAACATAGTGAAATTTGAGCGTAGGCCTAGCGGATTAAAATGCAATATTAAGGTACGGGGACAGATTTTAGTTGCTGTTGAAACAAACACTTAAATTTTGGGTGACTTTTTCTCTGATACATTTAGCTGTAATTCACCCAAACAGTATATTAAATAAAATAAACAGTTTACAGATACCAATTGCATATTTCGAGTTAATAATATTCAATTACGATGTTGCAAATAATGAGCTATTTCGAATATCCTAGTGTCACAATAAAAGTATAAATCTCCTCGAGAAATAATTAATGATCGTCAATGTTTCAGCTATTACACCATATAACGTGGTCATTAAAACATGTAATGAATAAACTAATAGATGGACATTGATTTAATGCGAATGTATTGTGGACGAGCAATCGTGCGTGAAGCATTAAAGTTACTATCATCAAACATGTAAAATTTACAATAGCAGGTGGAACAATCGACAATCACTGAAATAAAGCACGTTGACAACGATTTATTAGAAAACTAGTTGATGACAACGATTCATCTAATCTTGAAAATGTACTTGTGTAACAACTCGTTTGCTAAGCTCTATACTATCTTAGGTATATGGATCTATGTGAACTGAAATTATATAATGTAGCATCCAAAATATAACCAAAACTACAATAATGGTAATACCCACTTGAAATAAAAACACTAAAACAACAAGTTCCAAATTAAAAAAAAACATGCATCACGCAAAGCATGTAGCACGTGGGGCAAACCCCTTGCTTGTCACCCCTAACGCAAGGAAACTAGGCAAATGTGCGCTTTACGTCTGTCGTAATAGAGGTGGGTAATACTACGGTGCTTTAAACACCCCTACCATATAAATTACTGCAAGTGCAATCCAGGGTGCAATGGATCGATACAACGAATTCGGCTTCCGATTTTAGTAATTGGCATGTCTGTGCCGAGCTCGAGGCGTAGCTTTTACGTAGTTTCGAAATATTTCATTGGGTACGTGCAAATCCAATTAAGGTTTTGAATATTTCCTGCTCTCAGCATGAGTGCAGGAAATATTCAAAACCTTATTACTGGTTATACAGAATTGGAAACGAAATAAAACAGATTGCGTTAGGAGCTTCCGAAGAAGAGAACTTCCGAAAACAGAAAAGATAAGCAACCTGTCACTAATGTTATCTGTACACAACGAATAATTCCACTAAGCGCATTCTATTTCTATCATCTATCTATATCATAGCGCATGTTCTAACTGAGGAGTAATTTTTCCTTAACCCATCTCTTCTTTTCCTCTATAGGATTGCATTCGCAGGCCTTAGTTCTTAGAAATTTGGTAATTCTTATCATTTTAGCACTATCCTTGAATAAATCCTGCTCACGTCTTAACTTCATTTCATGATGAACTTCTTCAGGATATGTGAGGATGGCTAGTGTGGCAAATAAAACTAATGAACCAGCTGTATTCGCATCTGGGCTCCATGAGCACTTGGCATCAGATGAATTAGAGTTTCTTTATTTGTTCCAAAGTATACCTAAAAAAAGCTATGTCGTTGATGTCTATCTGTGGGAGTGACACTGATTCTAATTTACCGTATCTGTGATGCTTTGCAAACTCCATAAGTGATAAGGCGAGAAACTATTTCCACTGATCCATCATATATATATTTTCCAGTCTTATAGACTGTAATGGTGGTTGTGAAGTTTAATATTAAATGGTCTAGATACGTCTAAGATCAACATAACTCCAAATAGACAATTAAAATCTATATTTCAACACATTGAAACAATTCAAAGTGAATCCATAAAATCTTTTACAATTTACCGCATATTTTATGGACGGTAAGAAAGCAGCCCTTACCGCATTATTAAAAATCTGAAGATAATTTGAGAGGCACATTAAGGAGTAATATTTGACCTAGAGTACTGCAAAAAGCGGAATTAATTTAGCTTTTGGAGTGATGTCCCTAATAAAAAGCGCTCTTTGTTTGAAATAATAAATTCAGGAAGAATTTGAACGTAATCCCGTTTTTATGTTATAAGCGAAAAAACTATTATCTGCAACGATACATGTGAATGTAAAAGAGTGTACGAGTTTATGCAAATTGATAGAGCAGATGCGATAGAATCGTACTGGCAATTATTGTAGTATTACTAGAGCAACTAGAAACAAGTATCACACGCACGGAAGTCAACAAACATTGCTTTGAAAGGTCTTATTAGATTGGATTAGTCACATAATTATCATGCTCATTGAAATCATATTCATTCACAATGCTACCAACTGATATCTTAAAAAAGGAAGTTGATAAGTTTACAAGATAGAAGACTGCAGTGTAGCAAACAATCAATTCATTGGGGATTTTTAATAATATGTGTTACTAATAAATTCATCAGTATTAACTAAATAGCATTTTCGATTACCATTGTTTCCACGCAGTAGCGTCGACTCGAGGTCTCATCTCGACCAATGTCTAGCTGGTTAATTAATTGATATTTTCAGTGTTTATATTGATTTTACACTAACACTGCGAAAGAATAACCCAGAAATTAGGTTACGTTTCTATAAAGCAACCTAGCACGACAATATAATGTACAACATGGCAATGCAATCAGTGGTTGGCGATATTGATTTCATTGTAGATGTCAACGAACGACGAGACATATGTCGCCGGAAAGGAAAGAAATCTGGGCTCGCCATACGTATGTATTGAAGTTTAAGAAAAAGAAAACTAACAACTTTTGTGCCCTGCTAATTTCTGTACGTTCCGCTGAAAATCTTTAAAATAATATTTTTGTCCACTGTGCCATGACACATTCACACAGTTTAGAAAATATTATAAAGAATCGCACACCAAAATAAGAACAAAAAAAATATAGTCAATGGACCTACCACATAAACAATACATTGATGAGCGAGGATCAACTCAGTCCTGCCAACCGTATGGAATATGGACGCTTCAAGTTGAACTCACATTGAAGTTACGACGACCTTCATTACCTATTACACCTTCATATCCGTCCCCAAACAGTCTGAAATCACATACGTATATTCCCAACCCTAATTCGAAGCCGTAAAACAAGCGTCGATAAATATGTCGTGGGACATCGTAAAGACGTCCATAAAAGAGTTTCCATCGTATTAGATTGTGCCGCTACTTTGTCGAGGCGGTGTGTGTTAATTGATATGTCAGTAAGCAACGCTAATATTACAACATTCAAGGAAATCTCCTGTCTTGATTTAGAATGTAATGTTGGCCAATGAGAGTCTTTTTTAAGCCAAAATAAGTAGAGGTATCAATAATAAAGGTAAAGATAAACCAGCTCACCATCTAAACGGGTGTAAATTGTGGTTAACAAAATGGTAGTGTGAAAAACGTCGACGAAATTTATTGAAGTTTCTGATTTTACATGATAAGTAAGAAAACATGACTTGAATTTCAAGGCTAAACACATAATTGGAATATATTCAGAATGCCATGCCTAATCGAAAATGAACAGTACCATTTCAATATGTTATAAGATGATAAATATTTAACGCAAGTAAATATATACTTAACAATATGTTGGGTGAATTTTCGAAGACGAAGAGCTTAGACTTAATAAAACTAAAAGCCAAGGGAAAGTGGAAACAAAGGTTGCACGCCTAATTTAAGCGGAAAATTAAGTGAGGGGGTTTTCATCTAAATCATAGCCATTTATTTTGACTTGCGTACAAGTGTCCTGGTCTGATAACCGAATCGAATAAAATACTCCGGCGAACTCTGCCAGAGCAAGATAATATGGTCTATATCACAAGTGAATAATTTTCTAAAAACATAATTTAAGTCTGATGTTATCATAATGAATTTGAAATTTTATTATTCACACAAGGCGGATAAATATCATGTACCTATAACATTATTTCATCAAACGTATGTTCATTTCTGGAAATATACTTTGGTACTATAAGTCTCATAAACGAATGAACGTAGACATTCATATTTCATTCATGGTTCACGTACTGAGTGCTTCATATATTAAAAGTTAAAAGTACTGCGTTTTTCGAGATTTTATCTACGATATTATAGTGACTATAAAAGTAAGTTTAGAACCTTATTCTTAAGAATTTAAGTCGACTTCTTTTTTACATGACCATCTTATACACACATTTTTAAGAAGAGCAAGATATGCTGTGTGGTTTGAGAGTCAGGTAATCATATGCCACTAAAAGATCGAAAGTATGCTTTAAGGATGACAGACATAAAAAGTGTAAACAATTGTTCGCAAATTGAGATTTAGTAAATATATTAAAAGTTAATATAAACACTGATTTGTTATATCGAATAAGACTCAAAGCTAACATTAAGCAATGTAGTGATTCATGATAATCTTATCGCAAGTATGTAACGAAAAGAAAACAAATGCAATATGATAAATCAGAGTTGGATAAACATACTATTCGTTTTAAATGCTTGATGTTACAAGAAATATCAGTTGTTGACGAATTGTAATGCAGGCAAAGTTGAATAAGTTGAAATATGGAAATCTAAAAGTAATATAAAATAGTATTAAGTTACTTTGACCGCCGCCATCATTATGAAAGTGAAATATAGTACTAACTATATTGCGTTATACTGACGACATTTTCTTGCTTGTTGAATAGATGACACAGCACACGTGATCCGACAACCGAGACTTTGACATATTGAAATATTGCCTCAGAAGATTTAGGACGCGTTTGCTGCCTAACGAAGGATAATGAAATAAAACGAATGACAAAAATAATGAAGCCAAACCTGCGCGAGGGAATAGGTGAGATGATGGATGAATAATCAGAGAGAGAAATGACTTGAGTACTGGTGTACACAATATGTCAACGAGCACATTATGTAATTCCATTTTTTCAAATAACTGTATCTTTAAAAATCCAATCTATAACTAATATATTTTAATTAGTTTATCCGTCCTACTAATAAAATTATGAGTAGGACGGATTTTTAAA